CCCGGGTCCAGTCCACCTTCGCCCGCGAGCAATCACTTGAAAAGAATTTGAAAAAAACGATCAAATCGTAGTCAAGACGTCCGCCTTCATATTTCACGTTGTGATTGGTTCGTTGTGGGTCGCGTTGGACCCTTTGAACGTCAGCCGCTACGTACATTGTCTCCTGATGTGTTTGTTTCACATCAATCAGTGGTTTTGTCGAATGTGGGGTCTTTGCACCGTCTCTCTTGTTCAAGCTACATCCCCTTCGATCCGAGTTGGTAGGCGGGTCCCAATTCTTCTTTCTTGCATATACTCTAGCTCTCCTTCGAGTTATCATTTTCTTCGCACTAAGAATTGCATGTTGCATTTGTGCCCCCGCATGAGCGTCGTTGAAAAAAGTAAGGGGGTAGGAACGTGTGTGTTAGCCTTTCGAGTGGTGTTGCGGCACTACCAGCGGCGTAGATATTTCAGTCATTCTTCGCGGCGTTGTTTGGACTTTTTTTCGCACCTTTGGTTTCGGATCTTGCAGCCTTGACGCCGTTCTCTGATGGTCCTCACAACTATTGGCATCTTCACAAACACATCTCTGTTTGGGCAAGCCTTCGTCACCTTCACATACAGGTACCCGTGCGTGATCACACACTACGCGGTGACACGCCGCGCACGGGAACAAATTCTCATCGGCTTTCCAACTTCTTCGACGTCGTCGATTACTGTCGCTTGCTTGCCATTCGTGCCCCCGCGCCCCCACTGGGGGCACGTGGGAGTAACCTACAACCTACACTATTGGGCAAATGGAATAAGAACTTCCATGGCAGTCGATATTGACTTCCATGTAATCTGTTCGTCTGCTTCGGGTAACAGCGTCATAGCTTCCATGGAAGTTGATCCGCTTCCTCCACGGAAGCACCCGATCTCAAACCGCTCGTTGCTTAGATGGGAGTTGCATTTCGGACTTGCACGGAAGCGCGACGAGCTTCCATAGGAGCACTACTCTCATGGAAGCTCGTCGCTTGGCAGATTCTCTGCTATATCCATGGAAGCACGCAAACTCCATGAAAGCAACTTCCATGGAAGTGGGTGACAGTGGTCGAAACCGACTTCGGTGGAAGCACCGAAAATTCCATGAAGGCAACGTCCACCGAAGGGTCTGGGCATGTGGTCATTCCAGCTTCCCAACCCTAACCCTTACCCCGATAAGACCGTGGAAGCTAACCCGAGGCTGTACACTTCCATGGAAGCTGCCCAAAACCTTTTTCGAATCGCTTCCATGGAAGCCAAAGGTTCGACTTCCACGGAAGCTATTCCACTTCCCTTCATGGGGTTGCATGCACACTACATGTTTCGCGCTATCAGCGCGAAATGACACTTCCATGCAAACGATATTCACTTCCATAGTCGGACTTCCGTGGAAGTTGACTTCCATGTACGTGGATATCGTTTCCATGGAAGTGTCATTTCGCACTATCATAGCGCGAAACATGTAGCGTCCATGAAACTGGTCTCAGCCTCCATTGAAGTAGATCGAACTTCCATGGAAGCTGATTTGTACTTCCATGGAAACGGTGCACATTTGTGAAATAGTGTGGGAGCGCGGGGGCTGTTCAGTACCCTAGTATATGTGGTATGTATGTAGCTCGAATTTTTTCTTTGGGTAAAGCAGGATGGACAAGACATCGACCAAGAACGTTCGCCTACTACCGCGACGACCATAACCGGATGTGATACCCCCTGCGACGACGAAGTATACTTCAATGCGATGCGAACAACCGCCCGCGGGTCGTGCACCTGTCACATGATGTGCCACATGATGCTGCCGGCCAACAAATGCACGTACTGGTGTCGCCATAGTTTCTGGCCGCCGCGCAAAGGAGCTCCGTTGGAATATCTCCTACCGGGAAGTACTACTTGTATGGAAACCGTGACGTAACGGCATTTACACGGCAATACGCACTCCATTGCCGTGACAGAGGTTTTTCCTTTCGACGAACGTTGCTGTTCGCTGCGGCGGTGTTCACAAGCATTTGGTTGATGTCTCACTCCATTGTCGGGTGCCGCGCAAGATCGCGGATATATCTATGTGCTTCCTGACTTTTGCATGCATATCACTCGGCGTGAAATGTTCTTGGTGCTGCCGAGTACTGCCTGCGCGTTTTGACTATGTGGTATACCCTGTCGTGTGCCTTTGGATCTGCAAAACGCTGCGATACCTCTGTTCGTGTCCATGACCAAGGGCTATGGGAATATTACTGTTCATGCGTAGCCCCACATGTGCTTGTTCTCCTCCCCATGCATATCGCTGGGTGTGAACGTTTGTTGGCGCTGCCCAGTACCGACTGCACGTTTGGGTTAGGTCGTACACCTTGGTTTTGTGTCGCTGTCGATCTTTCAGACTGTAGCTCCATCTCTCTGTGTGCGTGCACGTACGTACTAGAGTTGGAGGTGGAATAGTTTTTTGTGGTGGTTGCACAATAGTACCTGCAGTAGGCTCGTGCGTCTGTTCATTGGCTGGCTCGTGTGATTTTCTCGTTGTACAGAAGACCGGGGGGCGGTCCATCATCATCACCTAGAAAGGGGGTGATATCCATCATCATTCGCTAGAGGGGGGGGTGGTGTCCATCATCAGCTAGGGAGGGAGGTGGTATCCATCATCAGCCGTGAGAGGGGGGTGCTATCCATTGTCACCAGCTAGAGAGGGGGGTGGTATCCATCATCAGCCGTGAGAGGGGGGTGCTATCCATTGTCACCAGCTAGAGAGGGGGGTGGTATCCATCATCAGCCGTGAGAGGGGGGTGCTATCCATTGTCACCAGCTAGAGAGGGGGGTGGTATCCATCATCAGCCGTGAGAGGGGGGTGCTATCCATTGTCACCAGCTAGAGAGGGGGGTGGTATCCATCGTCATCAGCTAGAGAGGAAAAAACAAACGTTGAACAATTCCCCGTCTGCTGCTGCTGCTGCTGATTGTTTGAACAGGACGCTTCCGCCACCGCTTTAGATAACAGCAACAGCAGCAGCAGCAGAGGCGACACACCCTCTCGCCCACAATGAGTGTAGAGAGGTGCACAGCACAGCAGTAGCACTACATCGTCTAGGAACGAGCGTGATGTGTTACTGGTCCCGTGCTGTGATGTATGTGTGCCTCTCTCCAGAGCAGAAGAGGCCGCTCCCTCCCGCCGCGTCACAACACAGTAACAACAACCCACCGATGGACCCACAGAGACCCAATAATCAATATCTCTCCTCTCGCTTCCTCCGCCGAAAGCTAGCAGCAGCAGTAGTATAGGGCACACCCTGCTCCCGTCCCGCTCTCGCTGTGTGGTGTGTGCAACACACGCTGGTTGGTGGGACTCCCTCTCTCTCCAGAGAAAAAAAGGCGAAAAAAAGGCCGGCAGCGTTGAACAACAACAACAAACAACGGAAACAACAACAACAACATCATCAGCGATGAACCCCAGACCAACCAAACGTTCCCCGCTTCCTCCGCCGTCGCCAACAGCAGTATGTGTGTGTGTCCCGCCCCCCTTGTCCATGTTCCCTGTCTCTGTGTAGTGCGTGTCTTGCCAGTAGCAGCAGCAGTGTGTGCAGCACGGCAGTGCGTCGGGGTTTCTTGCATGCGTGTAGTTTGTTGCCCAAAAAACAAAAATGATACCTCCAGGCCGAGAAGTCGGGGATGCGTCCAGGTGACATATATATTTGCACAAACGGTGTGCTATCTCAAGACACCGACCACGGATTGCAAAGGTAGCGGTTGGGACANCTTGTTGTGCGCAAGTTTCAGTTTGCAATTTGGTGCCGAGATGGTGAAATGGTCTCGAGTCTGCTGGGTTATTTAGGGCGCGCATACAGACAGACAGACAGACAGACATCAGACAGCCATTGCGAAATTTTCGCGCCCCTGGGCATGAAAATTATTTTTTTTCTCGTGCGCACATACATCCACACACGATCCCTCTGAACAGCCTTTTTTTTGTAAAACAAAAAGCGTACCCCTATACGGGCCACTCTTTTCGCAAAAAACAAACTCTTATGATTGTCCATCACCAGTTTCACATATTTTGGCTTCCTCTTTCATTCATGCATATCGCTGCGCATCAACGTTTCTTGGTGCTTTGCCCAGTACCGACTGCGCGTATGGGTTTGAGTCGGCATCAAGAACTACCTGCTGCAAACTGCTGCTGCAGACTATGTTTTACTGCACTGCGACTCGTCTTGGTTTCCAGCCGTCCCTACTTCAAGTTTACCACCAGTCGCAATTACGGAGTTTTCATGGCAAGATCAGCGCATCCTCGACCCATTTTCTGTGGAGCTTGAAAGTAGCCTCGCCAGGTCTGCCTTTCTTGTTACTGCTTTGTGACTTCAATTTGCCGATCTATGATACGCGAGACGTATGCTGTAAATGCTTAGAGGGTTCAACTTCCAAGCCAGTCAGCACACCGTAAATCGAAGTGGCCGCTGCGCCCGTATCCAATCTCCCTCTCGCTTCCATCCAGCATCATCGCAATTCCATTTACCATTTGTCCAATTTTCCAGGGCTCCGCGAAGCACTGCGGCTTAGGCGCCTTCCTTCCGGGTTCCGACAAATCAATCTCTGGTGTCGCAGGCGACGGCGTGGCGTTCGGCCCTGGCACGACTGCAGCGTACAGACATGGCTACGAATAGAGTGAGTCAAGCGTGTCTGCCGGTCGCGTTTTTTCGTCTTGTATTTGACCCGGCCAAGGTGCTAGCTAAAGCGTTGCTCGAGGTCAAGGTTCTCGCAGAATCCCTTCTGGGATAATATACCCCCCTCATGTTGGCATCGAAACCCATGGCAAAGGGACAGTTTCGTTCGTCCACATCATGACACGTGACACTTTGGATGCAAGGCCCCTCTTCACAATATACATGAAAATTGCGACAGGGTGGCGACAAAGGGTAGGTTCGCCATGATTCATCGTCGGGGTCCACGCGCAGGTTCAGCCAGCACCACCCTGAATGCCTTGTCACCCTTCTTCTTGATATCTCCGGGAACTCTGGGACAATGCATATCTCGTATGCATCCCCAGTCTCCGAAAGACGATTCTCACACATTCCCACGAGCAACCTTCATTCCGTGCACGTACCTGGTACCACCAAGGTCAAGTTCTACTTATGGGCGGGATCGGCGGGCTTGCTGTTGACGGGTTCATCGGGAGTTCCGCCGGACCCGTCGATCAACATCGAGACCTCTCTTAGGGCTTGTACCGCCGACGAACTCCTACCACAAGAATTTTCCAAGGGGGTGTTGCGGTCGCCTGAGTGGGTTGATTCGTTTGACCCGAAACCTCTGTATGGGTGCGACTGCAGCTTCTATAAGGCCAGGTGAGGTGAAATGAGACATGCTGCAGTAAATATCCTCGCTCATGCTGCAAGACTTCAGGAGGGTTTATGTATATCTCATCCAGGACAACTAACTGTTGTCGACGCTGGAAGTCTCATTCTCTGGTCAGACACAACATTGTTGGCGAGTTCTTGTTCTTGTTCTTGGCTGGAGAAGGATCCAGAACAACAGAGGGCATGTCAAATTGCTGGAGTATATGGTGTGTGTACGTGTAATGGTGAAAGTTCGCTGCGCGTGCGTGCGCGGGGCATATTTGTAGGTGGGGCCGAGCAGTCTGTTCAAGAGCAAAAACCCGGTAGAAGGCACCGCGAAAACCTGCAACTAGTCCAGCAGCACACCCGCCCCCGGGTTGTACAGAAAGCAAAAATGCCACTCACATTTCTCAAGGCCACATACCTTGCAGAGCCAAAATATCACTCATGTGAACGCAAGGTCTAGTCAGCTCGTTCCAATTGAAATATACCGCCGAGAATTTCAAAACAAGAAGACCCGTAGTCCACAAATGCAGAAAGAAACACCGTGCAGGGCCGAAGATCCATTCGTTCGTTCGTACTGGGGTACTGAACGGCCCCCGCGCCCCCAGTGGTGAAAAGGGAGATAAATATGAAACGACAAAGAAGGTGAAAAGCTGATGGTATTTGGTTCCCCTTTGCGGGCGAGAGTGGTAAGGCCTGGCACCGCGTAACTTATGATGAGGTCGCGCGGGTACCTGTATGTGCAGGTGATCACGGCTGGCCCAAAAAGATAATATTGTGTGTGTGGAGATCCTACTGCTGTACTGCAAGAACCATCCGATAAAAACATGCAAGAGAAAAAAACCGAACCACACCGCGAAGAATGATTGGAATATCTACGCCGCGAGTAGTGCCGCAACACCACTCGAAAGACTAGTAAACACGTGCGTACCCCCTATTTCCCAATGGTGCCCACGCGGGGGCACTGCAGCAATGCAAAATGCAACTTCGCGAAGAAAGAGATAACTCGAAGGAAAGATAACGTTTTCAAGAAAGAAAAGTGAAACTCTGATCGAAGATGTAGCTATAACAGAAAGAGTGCAAGGATCCCATATTCGAAAAAACTACCCATTCATGTGAAATGTACACAAACCGAGACGTTGAACGTAGCTACTGACGTCCGAGGGTCCAACGCGACCATAAACGAGACAAAAGGACAGACGCCGAAATCAAACCATTGACTAGTCAGCGCTTTCTTGTCTAATGGTATGATTTCGGCTCCTATAAAAGTTAGTCGTGGGTTCGAGATGCTTTGGAGGGTGGTTTGGAATAAAGTATAGCACATAACTACATGCGGCAGTTTACAAGGTCGTATGTGATTGGTTCTAAAGAGGGCGTAAGTATTGGATGAATGCACATTGAACTAAATACAGATTTGGAAATGCTTCCCCGAAGTGTCAAAAGTTTTCTGCGGCTGTACGAAGACGATGAACTGATTCTGTCCATCTGTCGCGTCAGCTGTCGGGTACAGTCGGGCCTGTTGTGTGGAAAAGCCCGGCAGAAGACGTCAGCTTCAACCAAGAAAGTGCGCGATGACAGCTGTTGTCTATGATCTGATGTTGCACCATGTGTCAACCCATGCCAACAACATCAGCCGAAGGTTGACGCGGCAGCTGTCAGGGCGGCTATGGAGCGAGGGTGTACGTGTGGATTTGTCAAACACCGGAAACCTTGTGGACTACTGTCTCATGTCGCCTCATTCCCACCGGATTTTGAGACATAATGATGCGACGGTCATTACCTGATAAACATGTTTGCACGCTGGAAACGCACATTAATCATATTTTATATTTTGCTGCTCTTTTGAGGGTGGGTGTTTGTGTGCGTGGAGAAAAGCACCGCTTGATGATGCCGCTCAATCAAGTCGGCGTTCTGCTGGCCCTGTGTATAGTTTCCAGCAGCTGTCGAGCTATATATGTCGTGGCGGTGTCAGCAGAGATGCATAGCAGTGCGCACCACCGAGCCTAAAGTCGGGAAGTCGGCATGCACATTGATACATTCATATATTCACATCGATCCGCGCGGTGGTGGACTTTCAACCAGAAGAAAACAGAAAATCGTTTGTTGAACAAGCTCGCGCTGACCTCCCAAAAATGGCGGGGATCTACTTATTATTGGTACAAAAAATACGAAGTAAGCACCACACATATTTTACGGTTGCTTCTCATTTAGATTTGGCATGTTCTGGCATGACCTCTCTGTCAGCGTAATTTCGCTGTGCCCTAGCAGCAGTACGATGCTGCAGATGCCAGGAGGCTGTGTAGCCTACCTCGGAGGTTCACACTGTGCCGCTCCAACCGCGAGGGATTTGGAATGGAAACATGAAGAAGATGTTTTTATTAGTTGTTGACTTCCGAGTCATTGATGTTACTAGTACTGGAGAGGAGTGAGAGGGGTGGCGAGCTTGGGGCTGCACCACTCTCCTCGAATACCAGACAAGTAGTCTAAGCCAATCACACGAAAGATCTAGAATGCTTCCAGAATGATTCTGGAAGCCCTCCTGTGTTCTAGAAGAGCATCAAGTGCAACCTAGGTCTAGAACTCTTCCAGAAGCTTCCAGAAGTTTTCAGAAGGTTTCCAGAAGCTACAAACGTTCTAGGTAGATGTCCCGGTCGACCTTGACCTAGCATGATTCCGGTAGATCTAGAACTCGATAATACATGCCACGGAGAGATACATTCTTTGCTACCGCCACGCACACTAGTTGCTGCAATCGTATTCAAAGGTCAAACCGTGTCCGACTAGTGGTGGTCTCGACTCACGATTTTTCCTCACACCCCTCGCCATGGTGCTCTCTTTTCCCCACTCCGGAGGGATGCCTTGTATGTGTAACTGTAGCCAAAAAAGTAAGTGGTGGGTTCAAGACCCAGGTTGGACACGTTGAATTGATTTTTTTCCTGAGACCCTGAATACTCTCGACCAGAGTAAAGGGTGACGACGGGACTCGTGCGTGGACCCTAGAACTTTGTGCAGGATGTGGGTGGCGAGTGATGTGAAGCGAAATCATGATTGGACGCATAGTGGCACTGGCAAGGGGAGTCTCACCCTCCTCAGAAGTGAAAGTGACGGGGCTCACGAACCCCAAGACTCAAGTTAATATTTTTTCAACGCCGAAATCAAACCAGTGAACTATAGAACGGCCCCGCAGTTGAGTAAAAATCTGTTAAGAAGAAATTACTCAATTTTTCATGAAACCTAAGATAACAGGGCAAATAAAGTCAGCTCAACCTCGTTCACAACATCAGAAACGTCCCAATAAGAAACATGAACGTACTATACCCCGCCAGATGTAAGAAACAAGGTGTTGCTGGGGGAGCTTGTCCAGTCAGAAACGTCCCACTGATGCTGTTGTTGCCATGCTCCCACTCCCTACCTATCTCATGTAAATATTATTTTGTAGGGGGGGGGAAAGGATATATTGGCGGCGCCTCCCGCGCCCCCGCGCCGCCGCGGACTGCGCAATACGCACCAGCCCTTGCTGCTGTACTGGTGTGAAGTTATTTTCGCCAGAAGCATCAACTTATGAAAACAAGAGAATCAGCAGGACCCGACAGCCCAAAGGAACAAGAAATCCGTTAATAGAAATTGGGGCGACTTCGGTTGGTCCTTCTGCCCAAACTTAAAATTGGGGCTGGACCCGATGTTGACGGTTTCCATCACCGGGCGCGTTCTGTAGTCAGCGCTGACTAGGCTAGTGGTTCGATATCGGCTTCTTAACATCGGACTGAATACTTCTAAGATAGAAGTTTAACTTAGGTTGATATCAAACACAAACGGCCAACCGGATAGCGTACCCTGTACATACTAGAATGCAGGTTAAGGCCGGTTCCATTTGGGATGTGGTAATATCGGGACCCATATGCTACACACCTGTTTCAAGGCAGCGAGCGCACGCATGTGATCATCAACCAAGAGAGCAAAGTCTCCAAGCCAATGAGGTAGTTCATTTGACTAGAGAATGTTCCCCTTGACACCTCCCGTTGCATCACATAGCGTACGGCGCCGAACTCTCGCGGAAGGACGCCATGGCGGACCGTAGAGTGTGCGGCATGTGCTGTGATGCGCGGTGGAACCAGACGGAATCGCTTCGGTGAATCTGAGACGGCAAAAAATGTATCCTACGTGGCTAATGGTGACGTCTATGGAATTAGGTACTTCTGCCCAAGCATCTACGGGTTTGATCGAGGCTACCCAAGGTGGGTTCCGCATCATGTCGCTGCTGGTGACTGCGGAGATCTCTCGCAGTCAGAGCTAGCTGAGACACCGTTGCCGCCCAACATCAAGGTGCTCTTCTACGGGAACTCACACATGCGTCAGGTGAGGTCCAACCTATCGCAATCGGAGGTGAGAACATCAGGGTCAGATGCTATTATTGGAGACTGCACACGATATTTGAACAGCGCTTAAACTTGCGATGCACGATATAAGCATCCAGGGGTGCTTCGCCCGCCCCCTCCTATGGGGGGCGGTCTCGCGTTTTATCGCTAGGTATCCAAATAGGAGGAAGTGCTTGAAGGTACCCCTGGCCTGAGCACGAGAGTCGGTGAAAACATTTTGCAAGCGGGGTATCTTGGGAGATCGGGTGTCGGATAAATAAATAGTTGCAGGTTGTTGTTGTTATTGTTGTCTTCACATTAAAAAACCGCTCCGATCTCTCTTCAACCAGTACCTTCACATGTCCGTAATGATCCAACACTTGACGCAGTCGATTCCCGTGTTCACAGGCTAGCTTACCCCAAAAGCGACACTGAAATTCACTGCCCCCCAGGGGTCAGCAAGTCAGTAGAAATCCACGACAGATATTCTGGAGTCCTCCGCTCCCTGCGCGTTATGCGAGGTAACAACTGAGACTACGAGTCAGCATCACGGGCCAGAGAGAACGAAGTACACCCCCTTGGTTCAGTGTTGGAATTTCACAACGCAAGAGGCGACAATGCCATCTGGCACAGAAAAAGATATTAAAATGAGGGAACAGAGGAATAAAAGTAAGAGGAAACAGGAAGGAAAGATAACAAGAAAAAGAAAAAGAGCGAGGACAAAAAGGGACCAGGACGAAAGAGACAGAAAACGGCACACGGTCAGGAGACCACTAACGAACAAGCAAACACGCATTCATGGCCACCAACCAGCAATACATGGTGATGGTACGTCATCACTCGTGGGGGGTTGGTGCAATGGTGCAGCTTTGGGGGGGGGGGGGG